TTAAACTGTATAGAAAAAAAAGGACATTACATGGTACCATCTTACTTGCATCCTGGTAACAAAGTACATTGTAGAATTTATTTAGGAAGGGGCACAAAAAACATTTACTGTTTTCTAAAGGTAAAATCAAGCATCATGTATTTTGAGAGCACTGGCAAATTGCTGTGTCCACAAACTTCTGTTTTTACTATGTGCTACACTTCCAAAACATTTTAACCACTGTTTTTTTTTGCTGCAGTGTGTTCCACTTCTTTATCACCCTATAAGGTTTACTCCAAGGTTGACATCTCTTTTCATTCTGTGGTTTTATATAAACTGATTGGAAAGTTTATTATGTTTGGCAAGAACAGTCATTAAACCCCACTTCTGGGCTACTTTTTTCCACTTTATTCATTTTTCCTGCACAAAAATAATACAAAAAATCTGTAGCTGTAGATTTGATAGAAAGCTCACATACATGCACATACACAGCCATAGTTAAACATAGTTAAATGGTATGAAACCCATACCTTGTAAAGTGGACGTTTTACAAGTGTAGTCTACCCCCGTGGGAGCCACTGGATAATGCTTGTCCTCTGGTGCTGCCTTGAACCTGTAAACTCCTCAACCCTTCTGACACTCTAGGTTCAGACATAAGCAATAATGTTCACCAATAATACCCAGCACAGAATAAAAGGACATTGGATGCAATAATTCAATAGCCACAGTTGTATTGAATACCTCAATGGTGGTTCAGGTAAATACTTAGCGGGGGTTTCAAACAATATACAGCAGTGCACACAATTTGAAAAAAAATAAGCAGTGCTCACTCAAAGTGAATATTTTTCCTTACACCTTCCTGTCCGTCCTATAGCAGATTGATATCCGGGCGGGACACTCGCCCTTGCGACTGGGCGTCATATGACGTCCTGTCAAAACGAGCCGCTCACGTGGCCGTGGGGCCACGCGCAACAGCGCAGTCTGTCACCGGCTGTGTCCATGGAACACAGCCGATGACATATCACTACACCGGCCCGTTGCCAGTGTCATGTGACCGCTGTGACCAATCACAGCAGATCACATGTCAATTGTATAGAATGGATTGCTTCCTGTCATGCCATCCATTGTATACAATTTTTGTTGTTAGCTGGTCAAGGCAGTCACATGATACAGACAGGGCCAATCACAGCCCATCTGTATCAGCTTTGCCCAATCACAGTTAATAAAACAAAAGACTGAATGAATCAGTTTCATTCAGTAACAATGACTGCAAATATCAATGAAATACATTGGTATTAGCCATCGTAATGTGTTAAAAAAAAATCCTGATCACTTGCCCAGAGTTGTTCAATGTTACTATGGCAACATTGTATTGCTTTGGTCACAGTGTGCTGAAAAATAAAATAGTAAAAAAAAGAAAAATTTAATAAAAAATAAAAAAAATAATAGAAACATTTGAAAAAAAAATACATATTCAATTATTATTTTCACCAAATAAATGGTGGCCTAAATTTATGAAGAAATGTTATTTATTTGCAAAATGTTATAACAGAAACAAAGAAAAGTGCGTTTTTTTTTCTCAAAAGTTTCAGGTGTTTTTTGCTTTATTTAGCAAAAAATAGCTCAGTGGTGATTAAATACCACCAAAAGCTCTTGTTGTGAAAAAATTATAAAAATGTCATATGGGTACAGCGTTGCATGACCGTGCAATTGTCATTCAAAGTGTGACAGCGCTGAAAGCTGAAAATTGGCCTGAGCAGGAAGGGGGTATAAGTGCCCTGTATTGAAGTGGTTAAATTTTTTTAGCAGGCTGTGCATAACCACTGTGCATCAATGGTGCCTGCTGAGAGTGCAACACTAGTTATGGGGAAGGAGCTTAAGAAAACCGTCAGCTCCCTTGTGACCGCTGGTGCAACAAAATGGGACCACTTCAATGCCTCTTTTATGAATGTTTGCATAAATAAGGGGGCACCCCTTTAAATAAGTAAGAAGCAGAAGGGGTTTAACCCCTTGGTGCCGGTGCCTTCCGGCCCTTTAAGGGTTCCAGAAGCCGGGAGGCGGGGCTGTGTTTTAGGGTCATGTCACGACGGTCACATGATCGGGAAAGGTCCCGATCATAAGAGGAGATCGGGACCTTTCCGCGAGTACCGAACGTGTGTGCTGGGAGCACTCTCAGCACATATGTTTTTCTTAATAGAACGCAAATGTGCGGCTGCTCGACGTCTAGGCCCAGATGCCGGGAGGCCGCACATTTGCGTTCGGCCGGCACCAAGAGGATATGGAATAGAGTCAATTCAGTTGGGAATAGTATCTTCTGCTAGCAAGTTGGGCCCATAAATGGTGAAGAATAATGAAGGATGATGGAGTCAGATCTGCAGACAGAGCTAAGTGAATGGCAAAGCAAGGATCTTTTGATTTGAACAAACTAGTGTCTGCTAGCAGTGTCCCTATACAACTGGGTAAACAGGAAAAGTGGGAAGCTGCCCTCTCACCAATCCTGAATGTGACAATCTGCAGAGCAGCTACAGATAAAAATAAGTTGGGTGTCACTTCTACTTGCTTCTACTTGCTGGGTCGCCAAGTGGCAATGCAGCTGGAATCAGGTTGGCAGCCTGCAATGGCCATATACTTTAAAATTGATGGTAATCAAGACTTTCTTAACAGGCTACAGGATCAGGATGCAAACTCTTGTATATATTTAAAATATATGTATAGGCAAATTTTTTTTTTTAATAGAGTGGGCAAAGAGTTTAGAATGCCTATTATTTTTTTTTGCTGTCTGTGTTCCACTCTCTCTGTTTGTCCTGATGACAAATCTCACTGGAAATGAAAGCAAGGGAAAATCGAAATTTGGAGTTGCCGCCAGGACTTAAATAGAGGAAATGCTTGTTCTGGTAACAGCTGTCAGAGAGGAGATTTACCTCTCTTTGAAGTTATTTCCTTTCACTTCCTGCTGTGCCTACAGGACAGGAAGTGAAGGGATGTGTTTTGAATAAAATGGGAAAAAACTGGATGGGGTTTTATCATTCCTTACACTATCCACTGGCTTTAGATATTGTTTAAATATAAACAAGGATCCATACATTCACTTGCATTCATCAACATGCATACACATGCATAAAGACACATACATAAAATAAAGATGAATACAAATATTCTCACCATATAAAAAAGCATGTATCTATAAAGTAACTACATTAAAATTTCAAATATAGCCATAAAGGTGAATCATAATTAAAGCGATTGTAAAGGATAAATAAAAAAAACTAAACAAAACAAATGTTATACTTACCTGCTCTGTGCAATGGTTTTGCATGGAGTAGTCCCGATCCTCCTCTTTTTGGGTCCCCCGGCGGCGGTCCTGGCTCTTCCTCTTCTGAGTGTGCCACCATTGGAAGTCTCTTCCTTTTGTAGCTCACCTGTGGCTGCGCTTTATGGCATAGGCATGTCTGGTATCGTACTTGTTACTTTCCTATACATTTGGTTAGACACTTGTTATGACTGTAATAATCATTTTTATCATCAGGATTTATGGAATATAAATATATTTTTTTAGAGCTGGGTTATATTTTTCAAAAGTGTAATTTCAGGTCAAGTAATGCCAGGCCTAAATGGGTATTTCTTCTAAATTGCTTTATTCTCAAGAGATAGCATAGGTGTATGCGTGACCAACTGTGGGGAAGATTTCATCTGCAGGATGTACACAGCAGAGCAGACTCTGACCGTCATACTCTGATAAATACGCAGTTAGAGGAAGGGGGGTAGTTTAGGTCAGAATCACTAGGCAGGGTAGATAAGTGTACACTCTCTGAAAGCACATTTACCCCCAAAAATCCTTTTGTTTCACTTATCTCTTTTTTTTAGGTAAATAACAGTAATAGATAGCTGACCTATTTATATATAAATTCTTATTCTGTATGACGGACTGCCTGGCACCGCAGCTGGGTAACTCCATCAAACAGTGCCTCCTGCCCTCCAAACCCTTCCAGCAGACCCTTCCAGCTAATGCCAGCCATTTACCCCAAGCATCATACACAGAAAAGATGTTGAGGTCGTACCAAAGGAAAGTCTGTTTATTAAAATCCAGACACATACTTAATACCCCAAGGAGGACATTCCCCTCCTGGGGATATTAGCATAGATAACATAAGACATACAATCAGTAAAAACACGATAATGAAAACTATAAACGTTAATCTAATTACCAGTTAAGCACCTAGAGAGCTCTTATCAGTCTGGCTAGTACTCACAGGGATTCCCCACCCTGCCTCACTTGTCTATGAGCTGGAAAACATGTCCACAATAAATCTTGATTAACCAGAGGGTGCCCATGAGGATGCCCAGAAACAGTTCCACAGCTCCAGATAGAAGTACATTACACCACATTTTTCTAAATTTCCCACATCTTCGGTAAAAAACTATAAAAAGTTAATAACATAAAGTTGGTAGTAGCCGGGGCAAAATGGGTAAATGCTGCATTATGCAGCTCTCAAAGACCAACAGGGGCAAGATAAGAAATATGCCCAAGAAGAGTTCTCCAGCTGGTGAAGGTGTTTCTGCACAATCTGTCCATCACAATGTTCCTGCAGATGCACCACTATTCTGGGGACTTCCTGGACACATAATCCCGGTAGATATTCCCAGCCAGTCAAAGGTTTCAGGACCTGCCTCTCCTTCATACTCTGACTGGCAGAAGCAGATAAAATCCCTGGTCTACGTCATGGGCAATAATCAGTGGGTAGAAGGCTAGTGTCAGGGATCTCCTCGATCCCTGCCGTGATGGTCCCGGCGCAGGCGCAGTGCACCGCCCTGTGCAGGGACAGGGGCACTAGGTCCAGGCCGGCCGCGGCGTTCGAGTTCGCGCATGCGCAGTAGAAGCCGCGGCCGCCCGCTGGGCACCAATGGCAGCGCAGGGCGGGATATTTAAATGGACCTGAGCTGTCATTCAGTGCCTTCTGGTCTTCCCTGCATCCTGTGAACCTGTGAACCTGTACCTTTGTAAGTTTTGACCCGGATTGTACCTGACCTTGCTGCTTTCTCCTATTCTGACCCTTGCTTTGCCTGACCTCTCTCTTGAATGCCCCTGATTGGATTTGACCTGCTGTTGCTGACCTGGCGTGTGACCCGACCATTCTATGCCCGCTGCCTTGTACCTTGCCGTCCTCTCTGTTACCGCCCCGGCCCGTCTGACCTTGCTCATCCATCCATCCATCCCTTGCAGTGGGGTCTTCTGACCTCCTCACATCAGACTCTTCCCCGTGGGAGCCCTTGGCGCATACCACTACCACTGACGGACGCACCCAGTAGCCACGACCTGGTCTCGGGGGGCTCCAAGTCCATCCCCACCATCAGGGGCCCTGGTGAACAAGCACCCTGGGGCTTAGATTCCGTGCGCTGGGGACGCCTATTCAGTGGAGTGCTAGTGGTACCGCCAGGCGGTCCCTTACAGCTAGCCCATAGTCCCCTTCAAAAGCCCCTGTCCCATTTGGGTCTGTTACATTCTGGAAAAAGCATGGGACATGGAACTGGCTGGAAAAATTAGATACTCGTTAAACCTTTCAAACTGTACATTGACGTACAAATCTATTCATAATACTGCCCCAAACTACCTCACCGACCTGATATCCAAATACCAATATCCAATATCACAAAAAATGCAAATCTGTGTGCATACATGTGTATTTAGCTGTGCTATTGGCCATTCATTACCTGCATGCATGCAACTTGACTGAAGCAGTTGTATCTGCCACAAACTCTGACTCTCATAGGTCCACTCGGTTTTCACTATATAATAATTTTTTTTAAACTTTCTGAAATCACTTCCAGGAAACTAATCTCTATGAAATGTACACAAATGTAAAATGGTATTTTGCACTATATGTAAGATGCCTACATGTAGCTTTATGCCTGGGTTAATCGCCATAAATGTAATCAAAGGTACAAACATCAGGTGACATAAGGCTACTACTGAACTTGGAGAGCCTCATCAATGTTTTCCTATGGGGATGTTTGCAGTTATAATCATGCAAGGAGATGAATATTATAGATAGTAAGATGCTTCGCTGCTAGTGCTACAAGATACTAATAGAATCCCTGAAATGTGAAAGCCATAATCCTTCATATAACACTTGTATGACAATGTGAGAACTCTTGATTGGTGCTTAATGATAAAACAGAAAAAAAGGATAAATAACATAAATAGGACATAATTACACATATGATAATAAAGCAAACAGTGCGATCAATCACCACTTAGTGAACTTGTAACCAATGTTCTAACAGTTCAAAGGAAAACATAGAGTCTCTCATAATTTTTTAGCAATTCATACATTAAATCTATTTGACTTCTTCCATGACTACAGTATGTGACCATCATCATACTCAGTAGTGCCCCTTTATATTACTCTATGTGCCTAGCTCATGCCACCACTGTGCTCACACAGAACTCCCACCTCCATGGAAATGTACACAAGCCCACAGATGTTAATATCTCTGGGGGTTCCTCCACTAGATAACTCCTCCAACACTTTCTGACAAATAGGGAGTCTCCTCCTGTATTCCCAGTGCTCCAGCAATAGCTGGGTATCGGTCCCTTTAAGGCTCTCCTTTATTCATGCTATCATTAGTACCTTTTCCCTCTCCTCATCTCCCCCCCCCCCCCCTCCGCTTCTGCTTGCCAGCTGTCCAGCACTGCCTCTGGTCAGCTGGAAGGTGAGCATCCTACTTACACGATGTTGTACATAACGGTGCTCTGATGTCTGTGTTCAATGGATTTAAATCTTTTTACCAGCTGCCTAACTCTCACTTCTTTCATCATCTACAGTTCAAGTATGCCTTTGAAGCACAATTTGGGAAATATCCAGTTAGCCTTTCTGCTAACCAGACTTGAACAAATGTTGAGGGATGGCAACCTCACTATGTCGTTGTCCACTATACAGTATATAAACAATTATTTCCAGAGACAGGTAGATTGCAGCAGGCAGGTTGAGCAGCATGGGTAACTGATGACCCAGACATGGATGATGATTGGGACAAACTATGAGAAGCGCCTTTTACAAGATTGGTATCAGCCAGAGACTTGCCATGGATCAAACTTCTTCCTGTTGGCTTTGTTTTCATGCCAATGCTAATTTCCTTTACATTTTATGGGACTGCCCAGCTATTCAACATTATTGGTTAGATATATTAGTCTGTATACAGTCGGTTAATACTATCTCTCTTTCTCTCTCCATTGGGGTATGTCTCCTAAGCTTAGTGAAGTTTATAGCACCTACTATAGCCATCCACAACTTGATCACCCGATTGCTCTAGGAAATTGATTTTCTTGTTCAAGAAGAAGGCCTTGGCGCTTACTCTTGCAACCTGGAAGGCTCTATCCTTTTATCCTTGTTCTAAAAGGGGTGTGCCTTACAAGTTTGATTACTTCCACCTCTATTGTTTTTAATTAAAAGTGTTACAACATTTCATGCTCTCACCCTTGTATCTCATACTAAATTGTGGCTGATCTGATTGTCCGAAGCTCGACCACTGCATTTTTATGTTGCCCCGAATGCTCTTTCTAGGCTTTTTCTGCTGGACAACAACTTTCAGTATTTCATTTTTTTTCCTTTTTTTTTTCCTCCTAGATCTCCATGAGACATTTTTTTGCAAATATATGCCATGTATCCTACTTTAAATCAGGATGTGGAACATTGTGTATGGGCCACAGGCTATAGTTTTTTATTTTACTTGATTGGTTTCTTTGTCTATGCTTTGTATATGCAACTTAAAAACTTTTCAGAAATGTGCAAAAAAAAAAAAAGAAATAAAAGAAAAGAAATGGTCCAGCCTTTTCAAAGAGTCTGCCATATAAGAGACTTGCCTTCCCTAAGACACAGGGGTTGATTTACCAAAGGCAAATAGACTGTGCACTTTGTAAGAGCAGTTGCTCCAGAGCTTAGTAAATTAACAAAAGCTCTGTTGATTTCCATCCTCCAACCATGTGCAAGCAAAAATGTTTTTTTTTTTTAATTTTCCTTGGTAGTGATTGGGTATTACTTGCAAAGTAAAGCATTTACTAATCTATGGTGCAACAATCCCCAAGCTCTAATAAATCATCCCCCAAGTGTACTGCTATGAGAGAGAAGCTACCCTATTAGAGATTTCCTCTAGGAGAGGAACTGTCTTGCAAAGGAGAAACTATGATGTAAGTGAAATATTAAAGAAGTAGCGCTGACTCAATTACTTATTTGCAAAATTGCCCTCTCCCCTCTCTGGGCTGGTGTTTTCTAGGAATCAGTTTAGAGACAGTTACCGATATCAAAGATGAATGCTTTTTGAGTGGATATACAGTATATATATATATATATATATATATATATATATATACACACTTAGAAAGTCATTACTTTCGGGGGATTTAGGCTTAAGTGGATTTGTTTAGGAACATTAATAACAGATAACTATATGACCATCTTGCTTTCTAGCTGAGCTAATGGGACTGGTTCTTGAAAAGTCCTCTATCTGTCCTAGCACAATATTTATTATAGCGTCTGCTGCTTTAGCAGCTATAAATCCCTAGGTCAGACGGCTGTGGTGCGCATTCATTATTTAGCTCCCTCTCATTCCCAGGGTATGTCTACACCAGGCAGGACCCTGAGCCAGAAATAGTATGAAGCCGGCTCATCATTTACTTAAGCACTGGCCCCTGATGTACCTTCCTAGGGAATATCTCATTTATTATGCACTGTCATTAGCTAAAGCAGCGAGAGGGGCCTTCATTAGAAGCTAGAGTTAAGGTCTTGTTGTGGATGCCTCATCAGCATCAGTGAGCTGCGTCCCTGTGAGCTTTGATACAATTTAATTAACCTAATTAAAAGCTCTGATTGCAGAGATGATTGGGGTAGCGCCAGCAGCGGATGCATATTTATAACGAGCTGGAAGGCGTGGGATGACGGCCAAATGATATGCAGTGGAGAAAACAGCCTTGGAGTGTGATGTTCGAAGACTAACATTTATTTTGGGTTAACAAAGGAGTTTCGTCATCGGGGCAATTCAGAGTGCTAAATGTGATTGAAACTTCGATTCACAAGAATGGATTCAGTAACGAGGAAACACATATTTCACAGGACGCATACTGCAAGAACAGGCGTCAATACTTTATACTGTATGTGACAAATTAAATTAGATAAATGTATTAGTGTCTTCTATACATGAAATGGCCTCCAGTCAGAGGTGGTAAATGTGTAAATTGGTATGGAAATAAACAGATATTATTTGTGTTCCATTCATGTGATATCTATCTATCTATCTATCTATCTATCTATTTAATTTACCCATGATAGGAGCTATTTTATGCTATAAAAGGACTTACTGTGGGCTGATTGGACAGCGTTTGAGCATGTTATTAGTTCTCAAAGCTTCTATTGCAAAAATTGGTATATTGTCTATAACAAATGTATACTGGGTATAAGTTATAAGGTAAAGGTTGGAGTTTAAATTATGCCCTTTATTGGCTAACCTAAAAAAATTATTAAAGGATGCAGGCTTTTGAAATAATTTTGTTTTCAATTTGGATAGAAGAGAGGAAGGATAAAACTGCTGTCCCTAATTATCCAGTTGTCATGGGAACAAGTGTGTCCATTGGAAGATTTTCCCTCTATTCCTCTTCTGGTGGTAGCTCAAAATTTTGGATTTGTTTTCACTTTTTTTTTTCACTTTTAATCCTAGTGACACTTTTTTTTTCACTTTTCATCCTAGTGACACTGGTGATCAGGACAATTAGAGAGACAGTTACTAAAAATGCAAGATTTTGGAATAACTTTGTCACTGTTTTTGTAATGGATTGTTATGTTGTTCACCAAAATATGGTTGATTCAGTGCCATCCGACAAAGTCATTATTTTTTATATATCACATGCCTATAGTGATGTGTACTTATTGATATGGGAAAAGAAATCTGCTGGAGGAGGGGAAAGGCTGCAACTGTTTCGGTTGAATCGATGAAGCAGTTAGGTGCAAATGATTGGCTTTTATCGTAAATGGATTGATGCATATCAACTTACAATCAATAAAAGGCAATCATTTATACCAAACCGCCTCTTCGAATAATCTTTTTTTGGTGCTCTTAAAGTCTTAAGTTGGCACCTAAGGTCCATCAATGAACAAAGGATTACCCTGATTAGGAACAACTTAACAGTTACTGTATACAAACACCACTAAGAATGCACTTTTACATCACCAAGACCTAAGCAGTTTCACAGATACAGTGCCACTCCTAAACAACTCCCTATTTCTACCGATCGCACTGTCAAGAACAGCATTACACTCAACTGAAGCAGAAGGTACTCAAAGCTTCTTTAGTTATGTGAAGGCACTTTTGAGTTCCTTCACTTTATATCTGTCAG